ATAATTAAAAATATCCTAAATTATATAAATATAAATTATATAATATATATAAATTATATAAATTATATAAATAATAATATCAAAAGAATTTTGAGGACATGGACGAATTTTCTTTCAAATTAATTTTGGCAAAATATTTTGTTGCTTCTCTTCTAAGTTAGACTTAGAGAAATATCCATGCCTGTTTAACATAAATAAATAAATAATGTACATAATTATTCACACACATATAATTACACACACATACACACATATATAATTACATATACACACACATTATATATAATTACATACACATATAGAGTGCTGTTTGATAAAAGTGACTCACCTGATTTTTTTTTTTACTAATTGTTCTCTTCTCCAATGAAACAAAAGTTGAGCTAAATTCAAAGGATAAGCGATCTAAAATTTTTTTTTTTTTTTGAAAGCTCTTTGAATTTAGCAGTAAGTACTGTCAAGCATCCGTTCAGTATAATGTTCTGGGGGATGCTTTTCTTTTCATGGAACTGGTTTCTTAAAACCTATTGAAATACCCTCATGTTGCTCAACTGCTTTCTTGAGAGCCTGTATTTTATAATGCTCCATAAGTTTTCTATGGTCTTGAGGTCAGGAGATTGGGGCGCCCATGTCATAACACTCAACTGCTTCTCATCAAAGTATTCCTTCATCAGTTTTGATTTGTGACAGGGAGCATTATCTTGCATAAAAATGAGCTTGGTGGGGTTGATTTGCAGCCTTTCAGCAGAAGGGAGCAGACAAGACTCTAAAATTCTCTTGTACTGCTCGCTCCTGAGGGTCTTTTCAATAGGTTTTAAGAAACCAGTTCCATGAAAAGAAAAGCATCCCCAAAACATTATACTGAACGGATGCTTGACAGTACTTACTGCTAAATTCAAAGAGCTTTCAAAGCTTCTTCTTCGGATTTTAGATCGCTTATCCTTTGAATTTAGCTCAACTTTCGTTTCATCGGAGAAGAGAACATTTAGTAAAAAAAATCAGGTGAGTCACTTTTATCGAACAGCACTGTACATTATATATATATAATTACATACACACACACATTATATATAGCATTTAGAAGGTATATGATGAGGCACAAACTATTACAAGATGATAATGTGTGTGTAGGTATATATTTTGTACAGGCATTGTGTGTGTGTATGTGTGTGTGTGTTGGTAATATTAACAACTATCACTGAATTTTTCTATCAGTCTTTAGTTAAGAATGGCAAAGCAAGAGCTGTGGCTTTAGGTATGTCAAAGGCATTCATGCTGGCTTTCTCCACAAGGTCAATGTTTACAGTGCCTCAGGGCAAAGATTTGGTCAAATCTAATCATTCCTAACAAATCATGTATCAAAGGTTGTGTTGAATGGACACGCTTTTAGATCATTTCACATTAATGTGGAGGTCCTCCCCCAAGGGCTCTATCCTTAGACCTTCATTGTTTCTTATTTTCATCAACAATCGTCCGATTGATCAACAGTACCCAACCAGGTATTCATGCTGATGACACAACTATTTAATCCTGTCTTAATAGTAAGTCCAACAGTTGTAACAAAATAAAACCGAGCTTCTGCCCTCAAAAAGAACTTCTAATCAGTGGTTAACTGAAGCAAGGAATGGTTTGTAAACTTTAATGCCTCCAAAACAAAACTGCTTTCATTTAATCATAGAGAACCTTTTCTGCTTGCTATCAGCATGGCTGATGCTAACCTCCAGGAGGGTGACTCTTTACACCTTCTGGGAGTCAAAATATGTTTGTCATTAAGGACAAGACACACCATCAAACCATTTGTAGAAATGATCATCTCATTGATTAAATGTGGGTCATTTACAATAATATGTCTGAAGGAAAAGCTTGTAGTTTGTACTAAAACAATAATTATACTTGAGAAAATAATGCTTCATGTTTGGTGGTATATAAAAGGGGTGAACAAGGGAGATGAATGGAAGACATTGACAGACAGACTTTTTGACGTGTTACTTCTTTGACCTTTTAAAAATCTGTGAAGCTTTCTTTATAAAATTGATTTTTTTTTTTTTTTTTTTTTTAAACGTGATGTGCAATTCATGTAAGTAAAAAATGCATTAATGTAGATATGTGAGTTTTGAATTGAAAAATAGGGGTGACATCCTGACACTTAACAATTTATTCCCATAGTGCATATGTTGTTGACACTTCTTAAACTGACTGGTCCACTTGTAAAAAAAAAAAAAAAACTAATGAAAAATTTGGTGTGGATAAAATTTTGCTGATAAGCATTCATTAGATTTTTCTCAAGCCATGACATTTAGCAGAATCAAAAAATGTTCATTTCATTTTAGCATTTTGGAAACAAAGTCATCTTCATAATATAAATGCAGTGTCTATCAATCCCTGATTTTATAAAAGAGTTATCTGTACATTGTTTTTTATTTACAAATGTCAAATGTTTGAAACACCACTTCTGAGCTCTCTTTGAACTTGTAAAGCATGCAGTGTATTTAATCCGCATTCATTCTTTTATGAGTGACAACAATTCCAAAATTATTCAACTTGACATTAACTCATGAATGCCAACCAGTAAATTCAGTATTAACTATAAAATGAATGTATTATAGGTTTGTAAAAAAAACACAGGTATTTTAATTTTAGGTATTTCTGAAAAAAACATCTGAAAAAACATAATGTATTAATTTTAGGTGAAAAAAAAACATCTGGTATTAATTCTATTTCTAAAAAAAAAAAAAATAATTTAAAAAAAAACATCTGGTATTAAAAAATTTCAGACAAGAAAAAAAAAACATCTAGTTTATTAATTAAGGTTTCTGAAAAAAAAAAACATCTGGTATTAATTCTAGGTTTCTGAAAAAACATCTGGTATTAATTCCAGGTTTCTGAAAAAAACATCTGGTATTAATTCCAGGTTTCTGAAAAAAAAAAAAATTTCCAGGTTTTGAAAAAAAACTTTTTGGTATTAATTCAGGTTTCTGAAAAAAAAAACATCTGGTATTAATTCCAGGTTTCTGAAAAAAAAAAAACATCTGGTATTAATTCCAGGTTTCTGAAAAAAAAAAAAACATCTGGTATTAATTCCAGGTTTCTGAAAAAACAAACATCTGGTATTAATTCAGGTTTTAAAAAAAAAAAAAAACATCTGGTATTAATTCCAGGTTTCTGAAAAAAAAAAAAAACATCTGGTATTAATTCCAGGTTTCTGAAAAAAACATCAGGTATTAAAATCCAGGTTTCTGAAAAAAACATCTGGTATTAATTCCAGGTTTCTACTCATTGATGCTAACCATCCCATTTTTGGATCAATGACCATTAATTGGTTATTAATTGATTTGTTTATTTATGGCTTATCAACTCTTTGCAGGTTATTTAAAGCCAGAAAATATTTTTAGATTGTAAGAACTTTGTTTTTGATAATATTGGTTTAGTGATAAAAGTCTTACTAATTAACCTATAGATGGGAGATAAGAGGTGAATTCATACCTTTCCCAAGGATACTTGAACATAAGTAAATATAACAAACCCAACTGAAACTCAGCTCTCTGATTAACAATTCTGAGCCATTATCCCTAACCCTACCTGCATATTCAAGCTTACAGCACCTGGTATTCCCAAGAGGTTTTCCATCTAGGTACTAACCAGACTATTAATTGGTTAATTATTCCTCAAAAGAAAAAAATATCAAGTCAATAAATTATATGTATAGTCATGCCTTATATTAGCAAGAATTTTAAAGTTATCCCATCAAAACAAGTGGCAGGTGTTTCTTTCTAACCTAATATACAGTGGGGACACTGAAAAGTTTTTGGCTCAGCCAAGAATGGATTTTGAAAATTCTCATATCTGGTCATTTGATCAGGTTTTGGAAAATGGGTCAGATCAAGAACTTTCAGTCTTCATGTCATGTATGTATATATGTATATATATATATATATATATATATATATATATATATATATATATATATATATAAAACTGAACAGAAAAGTCAAACTTGTTTGAAGCTTCACTTTATCTGATTGTTTAAAACAAAGTTTTCTTTTACTGAAAGAGATCTCATACAATTCATGCCAAATTTATTATTTACATAATATTTAATGTTCTAATAATTTGTAGTAGTGGTCTAAGTTTAACAAATAAAAATATTTCTTAAATCCTCTGAAAAGTATCACCTGCTTATCTCATTAACTAAGGAGAGGTCCCTCAGCTAACTTCATTTCTGAAACCAGATACTTTGATAAGCAAAAACAAAAGATCAAAGACCCTGTATCAAAGCAAAGGACAATACTACCTGCACTCTCCAACTACTTACCGACCTCAGCAGAAACCCAGGAAAAGAGCACTTTGATGTCAGTCCTCTCTTAGAAAAACTAGAAATGATTTTTAGTCCATTCAACTCATTACCAAAAAAGAATTAATAAGGATGACTGCCTGCGACAAAGGAGGGGGGTCTCTCTCTCTCTCTCTCTGTTTTGAATGTAACAATCAACATTCTGTGCCATCCTCTACATATTGATTGGGGTGCCTAAATTCCAAGAAGAATTTTTTGGACTATTTATCGCATTTTATTTGTTGCTTTTATTATTGCCATAATATTCAGCTCTCACACACTTGACAGTTTTTCTCAAACAGACAAAGACACGTGTAATTCTGAGAGGAATTACAGTCATTCCTGGAATTGTTGGAAATATTGGTCACATTCTATTTATTGCTTTCATTTGTTTCAACCAATCTATTCTCAGGCCTTCCTCAAGTTTATAATCATTAATGAACAAACCTTCTGTACATTGTTATCTGTCAAAAATTGTTGAGATTATTGATCTTGTTTCTTTTTATTGGTGCCAAAACATTTCAAAAGCACATTTCTTCAACCTATAAAAGTATAAATTCTATAGTCCACATAATTCTTGGAATGACAACGGCTTCTCAGAATTATAGAGCAAGTACGAATTTATTTATTTTAACCCAAATCTATTAAAATTTTTGTTTGTTTCTCCTTTTAGGACACTTTCGATACGTTGATTTGTGTTCGGTCCACCATGAAGGTCAGTTCTATAAGTGGGCATTTAATAGCCAATACGGATTTGCAGGAAATGTTCTTGCCTATGCTGATCGATATCGGTCAGTTCTTCAGTCCAAAAAAATGGAAGGGGGTTTTTTGAAAGCTTTAACAATGTCAAAATTAAGGTCAGTATATTTACAGGTTTTTTGTGGCATTTTTTTTGTTTGATTGGTAAATATTTATCCCTCTGCTCTGTGGCAAGGTTCCTATTATCTAAACTGACACAAAGCTACAAATAGTAGATTTTAATGATCAGCAAAACTTGTTAACTATCAGAACATTGTAAAATTCTTAGTAAAAAGTTCATACCAGAATTTCATTATTATTCTAATATCATCAATCGTTATTCATTTTCATTCCTCTTAATTTTAGTGACTTGTCATCATAACTAGTGTAACAATCAGTTGTATCCTCTGGTCATTATCAGGTGTTTGATGATCTGTGAAACCTTCAGGGAAATTAAAATTAAACTCTTTATTTAATCTATGGGAGTAGAAGTTCATATTCAGCTACCCATGTCTCACCTTGTTCTTATTATTTAGCTTTATTATTATTCTTATTATTTATTCTTTATTATTTTATTATTATCTTATTATTTATATATTATTTTATTCTTATTTATTATTTTTTTATTATTTTATCCATTTTAAATTATTATTTTTTATTATTATTATATTTATATATCTTTATTATTAATGAATTATTATTATTTATTATTTTATTATTTTATTATTTTTTATTATTTATTCTTTATTATTTTTTATTTTATTATTATTATCTTTATTATTTATTCTTATTATTATTCTTATTATTTATTCTTTATTATTATTCTTATTATTCTTATTATTATATTTATTATTATTCTTATTATTTATTCTTTATTTTTTTTTATTATTTATTATTATCTTTGTTATTTATTCTTATTCTTATCTTATTATTTAGCTCTGTTATTATTATTCTTATTATTTAGCTCTGTTATTGCTTTCCCTGTTTCAACTGAGATTAAGTCTACACAATCCGGCCAGTAGATTGAACTTACAATTGCTATGACACCAATTTCACAAACCATTAATTTTAATTCCCTGAAAGTTACTTGGATTGACAAAGACCTGATGAAGGCCGGAAAGCATAATGGCCGAAACCTTGTTATAACAACAACAAATATAGAATAAATTATCACTGGCTTGAGTTTATTGTTTTATTGTTGTTTGTTTTTTTTTTGTCTATCTCACAAGCTGTTGATTTTTATTAACGTTCAACAAGGCAGCTATTTAAAGAAAGTTAATTTCCCCTTTCAGATCATACATGTGCAAAGTAGAGTACATTCCAGTGGAAGAAACACCAGAAAAACGACCATGTAGTAGAGGGTAAGTCAGAAAAGAAATTCTCTACATTTTCTGTTCCATGTTTCTTAGGCACGATACTTGTTATGATTGTACATTTTGGATTATACCATGTCTGTTGTCTTTATTAGAACCGCAGGTCAAGATTTAATTTAGCTGACCATCCCAATATTAGCATTACCTTAGCTGTAGAATGGTACCACTTTGTTTTTGGGTGAAATCAAAGACATTTACATATGAAGTGGAAAGATGATATTGAATCAATTGCTAGGTCTGCTGCTAGGAAAGTTAGTTCCGCATGTCATGCTAGACAATTTATCTCACCAAAATATATCCTACATATTTATAAGTCTGCCATTCGTCCTTGCTTTAAATATTGCTGCCAATCTGGTCTGGTGCTCCTGCTTTATATTTAAAGATTCTTGATAAAATACGAATTTGCAATGTTATTGATCCTGGCCAGGCATCTCGGCTTCAGCCAATTTACCACCGCCATAACAATCTGTGTTTTTTCTATAAATAGTTTCATGGTAATTGTTTGGATGAACTTTCCTCTTTTTTTTTTTTTTTTAAAATGATGTTCTTTTATTCCCGCCCTCCAGATAAATTGTACATATGGGAACGAGTTAGGGCTACATAGAAACTGAGGTATTATGGTGGCAGTAGTTAGGTCTACATAGAGACTTGAGGTATTATGGTGGCTGTAATAAAAATGGTAAGTAAGAATGTGTTCTTTTGGTGTAAGGAATACTTTGGTATATTTGAGTCAGTAATCGTGGCTAGCTAAGTTTAAGATAAGACAGATTGAAGACCTTTTGGCCCTGTGCCACATTTTTGTATTATTCAAAATAAATATTACTTTCCTCTATGGCACCTAGACTTATTTGAATTTAAACAGTGTATTAGATTGGCAGCAAGGTCTCATTATTTTAAAGTTGAAATGGCTAGATGTAACCGTAAGTTCTAGGCTAGCAGTTTCATTTCACTTCTCACTTGTGGAACTCTCTTCCGGTTTCTTGCTTCCCAGTCAACTTTGATCTTCAAAAATTTAAATGCAATGTCATAATTTATATTCTGTCCTTTAATTCCTGTTCGAGAATTTCGAAATTATTCTTTAACACTTAAATATTTTATCTTAGTTGCTTTATTGCCTTGCATAAAGTGAAAGGATTTTAAAAAAATGATGGGAAGAAAATTCTTTATTGACATATTTACTGAATCAGAATTAGACAGCAGTCGATTCTGGCAGTGAATGGAATTCATATTAAAATATAAAGAAAAGTGAATTAAGCTCTGTTGAGTTAAGTTTTACCCAGACACCCTTGGGAAAAGCAGGAATTGGTCTCTTCTCTCCGCCACCTATAGATGTGGAGTAATTGGCCATGGTCAAGTATAATCGATAAAATTCTCAATAAGGAAGAAAGAAGAACAATGCAAATTAATACTAAGCAAACTAGGCAAAAATATATATGAAAGACAAAATTAGGCAAAGCAATGTTAATAAGGCAAAAAAGTTCACAAAATAAGAATCATGTTCACACACACAAAAGGGATACAGTCAAGTGATTGTAGCATTCTGACTTCAAGACAAGAAAAAAATTTTCCTTGTCGACTGTAGGAAAATGAAATGAAATAATAATAATGAATAATAAAAAAAATAAAAAGAAATACATTTTCCCATGATGCTAAGAATAAAGGAACTAGAAATATGATTACCTCACCTGGTTTCATCAAACACTGCTAGGCGGCGCTCGTTAACTCTATAAAATGACAAACATTTTCGTGCCTCACTCTCTTTCTCCCCCTTCCGCCAAGATGTAGCACGATGTGGTAATTGTGTTCCTGCTGGTTTACATTAGTTTCCCCTGTTCACTGACAACTGAACTCTCTTTTCACTTTCCAATGCATGGCATTTGCACAGATTTGCCAAATCCTCTACTAATGTACTAAATCAACCTTTTTTTTGGTTGTTCCAAGTCTGTGAAAGGCTGACTTGAATTTAACCATTATAACAATGCTTATCCTTACATCTTGACCAAGAAAAAAAAAAAAGAACATCCTATAATCATGTTTAAACCTTCCAACAATAAAGTAAGTACAAACTTTTCTTTGATTGTTCCAACTCTGCACAAGGCTGACTCGAGCTCAACCATTGATACAATGCTTATACTTACTTCTGGACTCAAAATAAAATGGATGTATCTGAGAGACATTGAGAACTTTGTTCCATAACAGTTTGTGATAGAAACCCAAGTTTTTACATGCTTCTCTATCTTGTTTGTCATATGTGAATGTGCACCGACCTAAAATAGATACCAACAACATTTTAAATGTTAAAGACCAAGAATTGCCCATTTTATATTGGTTAGGAACAAATCCCAGCATGCATCTGTAGATTTTGTCTACAAATTTGAAAAGGAGGATGTTCTTCATAGTTATTCCCATGATATTGTAACCAACAAGGATTTTTAAAAACTGTATTTTGGTGTAGTGGGTGGAATTGTTCAATATATAATAAAAAAAAGTTTAAAAAAGAAACTACAAAATTTTGAAGATTTAACATTTAAAAATTGTAGCCATGATTTGAATTTAGTTTATAATTCTTTATTTGCTACTCGTTTAAAATAAAAATAATTAAATAAAAAGGTAGACTGGACTGTCTAGTCTTGGATGGCAATCAGTCTAAAAGAAAGAAAAATCTAAATTCAAAAAATGTGAAAAGGACAAAAGTAAAGAACGCCATCTTTCTCAAGAAGTCTTGACCAATACACAGATGTGTATTACAAGAAAAGGAAGTCGAAAAGAGGCATGACTGGAACCAGTAATGGATTTTAACAACTGTATTTTGGTGTGGTGGGTAGAATTGCTTGACGATAAAAATAAAAAGATTTTAAAAAAAAGAAAAAACAAAATTTTGAAGATTTAACATTTAAAAATTGTAGCCCGGATTTTAATTTTACTAGTTTATAATTCTTAATTTGCTGCTTAAAAATAATTAAATAGACGACAGACCAGTGGCGTAGCTAAGGAGGGGCGGACCGCCCCGGGTGCCAGCACAGGATGGGTGACACAATGTCACCCCCAACAAAATTTTTCAACCAGGCTAAGGTGCCAAAAATAGTCTGAAAACAGTGGTGGAGACACAGGGTTTCGCAGGCGGGCATATGACCCCCCAGAAATAATTTATGACACCCAGTTTTGTCCCTCCGTCAGAAATTTTCTAATAAATTGTCGGGAAATTTGTGAGTAGGAAAAATAGCAAAGTTTTCAGCTTTCATGTGTTTCAGTGGCTACAATCTTGGATACTAACAAGAGACATTGTTGTAACATTTTATCGGATGATATGGTGTTTTAACTCTGCATCATTAATAACAACAAAGCGAAATACGAAGCCAAAAGTGCAACAATTTCAGTCCTGCCTGTGTATCAATTCGCTGAGATACAATTTTCCATTGATTGAGAGATATATTTTTGAATATATCTACTAGTGTTGGGACGATTAATCGGAATTGAGAATCGGAAAAATCGGAACTTTTTGGGGTATCGGAAAAATTTGTGGCTATTTTCCGATTCCAAAAACGATTCTTTTATTTTTAACTTAATTTTCCATTATTGGTACTAATGATAAATATTTATTGTTTTTAAATTATCACTAAAACTAAAATCATAATAACATCAAAATACGATGTAAATTTATTTTACTTGTATAAAGAAAAACAAAAAAAAATAAACTTTGCATAAATTCTCTAGGTAATCTTTAAAAGAATGCAGTTGATTTACAATGTTCCGAAAAATGCTTAAAAATTAAATAGAACATTTTTGTCAAGAAAAATACTTTCAAACATCATTGATAATTAAATGGTACCCAGAAAATGATGCAACGGAAAATTGGACACCGGAAAATTAGCAACAGAAAGTTACGTCAACCATGAGCCAGTCGAGACTGTCGGATCTGGCTGTGCTGTCCATTGAAAACGAGCTTACAAGACAAACAGATTTTGATGATGTCTTTGACCAGTTTGCCACAATGAAAACAAGAAAACATTCATTCTAAGACCATAGTATCGAATATCATTCTTTTGTCTATTGCCGTGTTTTGTATTTAGTTGTTCTGAAAGTGAACAGTTGCATTTTAAAAATCTTTTGATTTGAACTGATTATTTTGTGGTATTGGATTTTGTCTTGGATCATACATGTAAACCGTAACGTACCGGTCAGTAGAGTAAAGTAGAGGTAGAGCATGTATGAAAATTTAGCTACAGCTAACCATTCAGCATAGGGTGAATCGGGGTCATTGGGGTGACATTTGATCGGACCGCCCCGGGTGACGTTTACTCTAGCTACGCCACTGCGACAGACTGCACTGTCTAGCCTTGGGTGGCAACCAGTCTAATAGAAAGAAAACTCTGAATTCAAATATATAAAGAAAATTAATTCGTAAAGTCATTATTGTCCATCTCTTAAGAAGACACAGCATTAAAAAAATAAAAACATGATTAGAAAATTCATCTTATCTCATAACATTCCTATTAATCTTCTTTGGGAAATCCACAGTCATAGTATTGTGCTAGTTTGAAACTATTAAATTCTTAAGACAAGTTAGTGTTAGCAAGTTAGTCTCATAGACTATTCATAGTGAGTTTATCCTTACTAGGTGCTCAATACCCTTAGCCTTATACCGGACTAAGCTAAGTAAATACTTATATAGACATTAATAATTATTAACGTTTGACTAGTTTATCTTTCATCTTATTTTTGTTGCCTTTTTTTTTATAATGCACATTTTACATTCTCGGATCATTAGGCAAGTAGCAAATAAATTCTTTTTTTTTTATAATGATATTCACCCTATACAAAGCCTGAGGGCCACTCAAGGTAGAGGATTAAAGAATCAGATGGCACAGCTTATACAGATGTGTGTGGAAGATAACGGTTAAGATTGTAGTGACCGGGGAAGCATCCTCTTGGGAGTCGGTTCAACAAGGCAGCTGTTTGTGAGGGAAGAAGCTGCTAAAGTGGAACTTACATCTCACAAAGGGAATGACAGTGGTTCACTATAATGTGTGTGTGGAATGGCTGATCTTAGTCCCATCAATTCTAACCTTCACAGCTAAGGAGGAGTATCATATTATAAATTAGTGAAAATTAAAATCATGGTTACCATTTTTAAGTGTTAATTTACAAAATTTTTTTTTTTTTTGTCATATTTTTTTATAATTTCTGTATTATCAAACAAATTTTCCAACTACTCTTTTCAAAATACAGTTGTTAAAATTTACGAAAAATTATGTTTTGTAAGATATTTAAAATTTTAACTATCAGTGCATCAGACTGGTTGCAGACGTGAAGATGAAATGTCTATTTTTTTTTTTCTTATTTCCTGAAATGGAAATATTTCTTAAATATACAAGAATTTTTTTTACCTATTAAACGTTATAAAAATCTGAAATGAATTTGCGCTCAGAAAAAGATAAGAACCATCTAAATTTTCGTCCACAGTTTTTAACCTAAAGCATTAACCTAATTTTTAGGGAGCGTGGAAAAAAATAGTTTATGATATAGGGTGAGTAACTCTTAAAATTCTTTTGCAGAGTTATTTCCCTTTGATTTAATTTCTGTGAACACGGAGATGTCTAATCAATTGATCCACATTTAAACAATCGGAGAAAAATCTTTCTATTTCGATCGAAAAATCTTCAGCCGTCAGGAGGAATAGCTAAAGCACAGCAATAAGTTTATCGCATTCTTTAAACTTATTTTTATTCCTTTTTCATTTTAAGACGTTTTATTCATTATTTTTTTTTCGTCGGTTGATAAACAGCAACCACTTTCCAAAATTACTAACGAACATCACAGGCCCAACATAATATTTTAATTTTTATAATTTGTACATCCATATACAAAAGAAAAAAAAAATTCATGTTCTTCGATAGCGTGGATGCTGACATACAAAAAAGCGAAAAATCAAAACGATCTGTTTTTTACTGCCATAAGCTTAAATTCTTTTTTTTTTTTTCCACAAAGATTATTAACGGGTGTCATCGACCCATTACTTAATTATTTTTTTTTATCCCCATTACTACAAATCTAAAATTCAGTAAATATCAATAAAATGAAAATGATACAACTGTTATCAAATATGTTGCGGGATTTATGACGTGGTGTAAACGTTTTTCCGTAAAAAATGTTTTTTACGGAAAAATAGGTGATTTAATTCTGGAACATTTGTTCCGCAAACGATATTTGGAAGACTCCTGTGAGTCCGGACAAAATTAAGTAAAAAAAATAACATGAAATTTAAACAAACGACAATTAAATGCATATAGTAAAAGAAATTAAATAAATGTACACACAGTTGAAAAGGAAAGGACATCAAAAACTTAGCTATTAAGAATGTGTGTGCGTGTGTATGAGAGTTCAGTCGTCAGTGCACTGAAGAAGCAAACATTCTCCATTGGGGACGTCCTCATACAAGTACTTCAACATTTTAGAGGAAGAGGAAGGAAGTGTTTGTCTTTTTAGGGACATAAACAGCGCCACCTGATGGGCGTTTGGCGAGACCACAAATTGCGACCAGTTGGTTTCAAAGATTTGACTAGATTGAAACTAAGCACCAAAGAAAATGGTTTTTGATAACTTTATATTGAAGTCATTTTTTCTTGTCTCAAGATTTGTATTTCACTCCATATAAGGTGCCTGTCCTGGGTAAGACGATAAATTATGTCCAACAGCAAAACCTCTGATCAGGAGGTTTTGAGGAGCATGGAACCACCTCTTAATTGCTGGTGTTCCCAGGTCCACCCTGACCTGGGGTGGTATCACCTGTTAGGGCTATGGACAAATAGTTAACCCCCAAATTGGGATCAAAACACTATGAAAGTGTAAAAATAGGTTTTAATACCAGAAAGAGTTTGCAAAAAAATTATTGGCAGTAATATATTTTTTTAAAAAATATTAGCAGCAATACATTTTTGAAAAAAAAAAAATATTAGCAGCAATACATTTTTAAAAAAAAAAATATTAGCAGCAATACATTTTTTAAAAAAAAAAAATTATTACAATACAACAATACATTTTGAAAAAAAAAAAATTATTACCAGCAATAAATTTTTTGCAAAAAAAAAAAATATTACCAGCTATACATTTAAAAAAAAAAAAAAAAAGAAATATTACCAGCAATACATTTTTGAAAAAAAAAAAATTATTACCAGCAATAAATTTTTTGCAAAAAAAAAAATATTACCAGCTATACATTTAAAAAAGAAAAGATAAAAGAAATATTACACGATAAATATTCCATGAGGCTATCTCATTCAACTATATATATGTATTGATTTTCTCATGTCATATATTACATAAAAGGTTACCTCATTCAAATAGCTATTTCAGCCCACAAGACTTACTTCTGGGCCTTGTCTTGTGGACCAAAATAGCTATTCAAATGAGGTAATATTGGATTTTTATTTTATGTAATTTATATGCTCTGTTATAATAAATACATTGAGCTCTTTTGGTGGATCAGTTTTAATGTTTTATATTATTAGGATTCACTAGGATTATATACCAACAGATTATTACCTCTGTGTGTGTGTGTGTGTGTGTGTGTGTGTATATATATATATATATATATATATATATATTTTATTAAATATAGCTTACAAGGATGATTTAATTAATTTTTCAATAAGTTTATCCAACTTCCTTAGATTTTTCCATTTTGTAGGAGTAAGGGAGTACAAAAATTTTCCATACATTGGTAGTTAGTAGTTTGTTTTGACTTCTAAAAAGTAATTATTTGCAATTTTGCCTCTAATAAGCACAGTTTGTGGCAGCTTCTCAAACATATCATTTGTGATAAAAAAAATAACGTTAGATGAAAAATTCATTCATTCCTCAGAAACGCATAACGTATAAAAGATGCCTGACTGAGGCAGCTTTTGTAATTCTCTATTATATTTATATATTACATAGGAAACCCAATTTACTGCCTGTTATTTTCCAGCTGACCAAATAGATAATTTCTTATTTATTGCATTTAGAAAGTTCCTTTTTTTTTTTTTTTTTGACAGGTGCACTGTCTGCCGATTGCCAGAGAGTCCAATAGATACGGACACAGCTGATACACAACGTACTTACACAGGTAAGTCTTTAGGAATTGAGTCTGTTCTTATTTCTTTTTTTTTTTTTTTCATAAGAAACTTTTTATTTATATTGTCCAGACATATTTGCCATTAGTGTTTAATGTGTCCAAGGCTATGAAAATTGGACAGTCCAGAAGACAGTTACCAACAACAACCATGGTGAACCATTTATCTGTGTACTTTCAGAGAGACCAAAAGAAAAACAAAAGTTAAAAGAACAATGAACGTAAACCATCCCCATTCCCTTTGTGTTTCTTTGATAAAAAGCAAGTTCCACTCAAATAGCTTCTTCCCTGGAAATGTTACTTTGTGGAACAAACTCCCAGGAGAATGCTTCCCTGATGACAAAAATCTTGGTACACTATTTACATTTTCGGGCTATCATCCTCATCTTTGTTGCCATATTTATCACAGTGTTTCGGCCGTTGCACACTCCGGCCTTCTTCAGGTGGTTAGAATGTCGAACAGAACCCTTTATTTCACTCACTGGGGTAGACTGTTCTAGTTCCATGTGCCATGTCTAATGGATGTCAGTTATCAGTTATCTCCTGTTAATTCCCCTCTCCAGGTTCTCCACCAGTGGATAAAGGCATTAGTTAAATCCAGAGACTGTGAGTTCAATACCTGGTTAAGACGGTGGAGAACTTGGAGAGGAGAATGGCAACAAAGATGAGGATGATGGTCCGAGCAATGTAAATAGTGTACATAATACCTCATCTCAGAAATATGGACATTTAAAATCTTGGTCTCTTTAATGTCCACATTACAACTCTTATCCTACAGATGAAGCACTACCAGCCTATCACTTCTATATCACAATTACTATGTCAGATGTTCAACCAGATTACATTCCTTAGTGCCACTGGCTCAGACATTCACAGCTAGGACCTATCATGCTGTATCCCACAGATGGAACATTACCATTACTTCTGCTGGTTCTGATCTAATTGTGGGAATGACAACAAAATACTCCCCCATTCCCAACTTATAGGCAGAGACACACAAATTTATGCTGGGATTTCTTCCTAGCTGATAAGATAGGGTACTTTTTGGTCTCATCTGACACAGTCCCAGTCTGTCCTGTCTTTAAATCAGAATGCTATGTTCATTTATCTGAATCTGCTCTTGTGTATCAACACCAGTTCTTAGTTTGGGATCTTTTTGCCTTATTTCAGTAGCTTTACCTTTGCATATATTGTTTGTTTACTCAATATTGTTTTTGGCTTCTGTTCTTTTTTTCTTTTTATTGCAATCCTTGTCAATTCTGTTTGTTCGGCATTTCTCCCATTTAATCATGGCCACTCACTTAGTTTCTTCCCCAGAACTGTTACTTTGTGGAACAAACTCCCAAGTGACAAATACAATCTTGATCTCTTTAAGTCCAGGGTTCATTTGTTACTTATTCTACTTCATCCTTATAGTACTCTCTTACTTCCCTTTTCCTTAAAATCACACTCTACTTAGAGTGGCTCGTGAGCCTTGTATTGGGTGAACTTTCAGTAAATGAATAAACAAACAAAAATATGCTTTTGATTTCTTTTAAGTTTTAAATAACTAACATTAATAATAACTAAGTGTTCAAAAATGTTTTCCACTCTGCAACCCTTATCCCACAGATGAAACATTACCAGCTTTTCATTGCTATATCCCAATTACTATGGCAGATGTTTGGACAGATTACATTCCTTAGTGCCAACAGATTAGAGATTCACAGTTAGGACTTGACCTGCCATGTTCACAGTAGAAAACCATCCCCATTGTGTTTCTTTGATAAAAAGAAGCAAATTATACTCAGATAGCTTCTTCCCCAGAACTGTTAATTTATGGAACAAACTCCCGAGTGGATGCATTCCTGATGACTAAAATCTTGGTTTCTTTAAGTCCATGGTCAGCCGATATCTATCCTATTTCAGCCTCATAACACTCTCTTACTTCCCTCTGCCTTGAGCGACCCTTGGGCCTTATTTTGTGTGATCTAAATTAAAAAAATACACACACACACACACACACACAAAATGCACTTTACTGCATACAAAGAGCAAAATATTATCATATTTTTATTATAAGAGATTATAATAAAAACATTTTACATTGCTACACAAAAGCTTTCTTTCATGTTTCAGTATTGAAACATGAAAGCTTTTGTGTAGATTTAAAAATTTTTTATTAGAATCTCTTATATTAAATATATATATATATATATATGTGTGTGTGTGTGTGTATGTATGTATGTTTATATGTGTATATGTATGTATGTATGTATGTATGTATATATATATATATACTTAAATTTTGAAATCATTCATAAAAAGATATTAACATCAATAACTAATAATAAGTTAGAACTAGTAATGGTTGTCCTATTTGAATTTTCTGACGAATCACAATACTTAAAGATTGAATAATCTATCCATGGAAAGCGCATTGTTAAGCATTTGAGTTTAGCAGCTTTAACAAAATATTGCAATAACAATCATAAATTTGAATGCAGAAAGTAAGAGAATACAAATGAAAATATTTGAAAGTGTTATTATTTTTCCATTTCACTGAAGCAAACATTAAATACATGAGTCTTATCACCTATCTTTTTTTTTTTTTTTCTTTTCTCACTGAAAGTAAACAGCATCTCTGATATGTCTTTTCTGTTTTTCCTCACAATCAAAATGCAATAGTCTATTATTTGTAAGATGATGGATAGAAGATTTGTTTTTACCATAGATTTTATTAGGCAGAATAAGAGATTAACAACAATATCTAATTATAAAAAACAATTCTAATAATAAATTAATAATTAGACTGTAATAAAAGTGTAGAGTATTTGGCTATGGTTAAGTGTAATTGGTAAAATTACCCAACAAATAAAATTGACAAAATTTACAGTAAACAATAACAAGAAAAATAATGGGGTAATGTAATACTAAACAAAAAATATGTGTTGTAGCACACCTATGGACTATAATGGGTATGTCCCCATTCACATAAATATAGTAGTAAATACTGTATCTTGGTCTGCAGCTGGAGATTCATTGTTGAATTCACATGACTCACTTCTAGCAGTTGACTACTACTTCTACATGCCACTAGCGAATCTTATATGTGTTGTTCTTGTCCTAAGTATTATTGTTCATTACCAACTTTCGTGTGATTATTCTATTCAGTATACTTCTCTAGGTTACAACAAATTCAATAAACAAAAAGTTCAATAAAATGTCAGGATATTTGAGAATCCCTGACCTAAAAGATTCTTTTCTTTGAAGCTATTTTTTAATCATTTTATAAAGCACAATGTAATTTTGTATTTGTCAGTTATAAAAAGAAATGATTTGAGATATTCCATTGTTATGGTAACAGAAAGCATTACTTTATACCAATAAGTCAATATAACATATTGGCTGTTACCCTAGTGAGATCTTGCAATGAAAAAAAGTTGTTTTTACATTACTTTTTTGAAAAAAATTTTCTTTAGGTATTATTGTAGCATGTTGGTCTGCTGTTGGAGATTCATTGTGGAATTCACTTGACTCATTTCTAGCAGTTGACTACTTCTTCAATGCACTAGATGTGTTATCATTCTTTACCAACCTTTGTGTGATTATTCTATTCAGTAACCTTCCCTAGGTTACAACAATATGCAAGACAAAAGTAGGCAAAGTAACAATAATAAGGCAAAAAGTTCACATAGTAAAAATGGTATTCAGATGCAAAAGGGATACAGTCAAGTGATTATAGTGTTCTGACTTCAAGAAAAGAAAGAACAAAAATGTTCTGACTTCAAGAAAAGAAAGAACAAAAATATGGTGGATGAGAACAAGTAGTGGTCCATTTTATTGGTCAGAAAGAAATCCCAGCAGTCATCTGGATGAGTTGTCTATAAATTTGGAGAGGGAAGATGGATGTTTTTAGTAGTCATTCCAAGCAACACAAGGAAATTAAGAAAAAAAAATGGAATGATAAAAAAAAAAAAAAAGTTAAAGAAAAAAAGAAAAGTAAAAAGGAAAATGAGAGGGAAAAGAAAGAAAGGGGCAAAGAAAATTTCTAATTTATTAGGGTTAGAAAGAATAAAAGGAGATAAAGAAAAAAAAAAGAGAAAAGAAAAAAAGGAAAATAAGAAAGAAAAAAAGAAAGAAATAACATATTGAAAAAGTCAGAAAATGAGAAAAAAAAGAAGAATGAAAGGAAAGAAAAGAAAAAAAAAAAAGAAAAGAAAAGAATGAGAAGGGAAAGAAAAAAAGAAAATGAAAGGGAAAGGAAAAAAAAAGTTGAAAAGAAAAATTATGAAAGAAAATTGGAGAGAGAAAAAAAAATGAAAAAAAAAAAAAAAAGAAATCAAAAAAATAAAAATGAGAGAGAAAAAAGAAAAAAAGAAAGAAAAAGAAAATTCAAAAGAAAAAAAAAAAAATGAGAAAAAAAAAAGAAAAAAAATTTGAGAAGGAAAAGAAAAAATGAGAAAAAAGAAAGAAAGAAAAATGAGAGGGAAAGCAAAAGAAAAAATGAAAGGGAAAAAAAAAGAAAAAAAAAAAAATAAAAAAAAGAAAGAAAAAAGGAAAATGAAAAGGAAAAAAAAGGAAAAAATTTAAAAAAAAAAAAAAAAAAAAGAAAAAAAAAAAAAAAAGGAAAATGATCTAAAGAAAAGAAAAAGAAAAATGAAAGAGAAAAAAGAAAGAAAAAAGAAAGAAAAAAAATGAAAAAAAAAAGAAGGAGAATGAAAGAAAAGAAAAAAAAATGAAAGAAAAAAGAAAGAATGAGAAAAAAAAAGAAAAGAAAAAGAGGAAAGAAAAAATGATATTTTGAAAAAGAAAAAAAAAATTGGAAAATGAAGTGGAAAAGAAAAAAAAAGAAAATTAAGAGGAAAGAAAAAGTTGGGAAATGAATAAAAGGGAAAAAAAAGAAGAAAAGGAAAAAAGGAAAAGAAAAAAAAAAAAGAAAAAGAATGAGAAGGTAAAAGAAAAAAAAAGAAAATGAAAGAAACAAAATTAATGAGAAGGGAAAAAAAGAATTGAAAATAAAAAAAAAAGAAAGAATGACCAAAAAAAAAAAAAAAAAAATAAAAATGACAAAAAAAGAAAATGAAAAAGGGAAAAAAAGTTTTTTTTT